TTAAGAATGGAAACATGACAAATAATGTGAGATGGAAAAAAGGAGGATATTCCCATGACTTGTAGTATTATGCTCTTTAGATGAGCACATTATGGCACCAATATCTAAAAAAACAGAAAATGGGAAATAAGAGAAGTCATTTTCTCAAAAAAGTCAGTTTCAATTTCCCATACTTTTATTAATTACTATTAATTTAACACATAATGGTTGAGGGGATACGTCGCTGCAAGAATAAATGCAATTTTAAATAAATGAATTGACACATTGGAAGAAGAAAAAGAAAAGAACAAAAAAAAATTGACACCTTGGAATGAAAAGAAAAAGAAATTGACAACTTAGGAAAGAAAATTACTTCCTATTGGTGCAGCTTCTTGGTTTCAAACTTGGAACATTGGCATATACAATAACTTGTACCATTGTCATATTCGTAGTGACAAGATTACCAACCAAAAAAAAAATCCCAACCATTTTATATTTGAATTTTATTGATCGGACTAATTCAGATTCAGCTAGAATGGACATGTTAAGAAGATGAGTCACTCGCTATAAAAAAAATATTTTTTCTCTTGATTCAAATTTGAGGTATCTGATCAAAGAGCGGGGAGATCTCAATCATCTCGACCATCTTTGAGAGTCTTATTTGCTTTTGTTTGGCCAAAATAGTCTCAAGATATTTTTACATGGTGTAATATTTATGCTTTGAATTTAGTCTGTAATTTTTTTTATAAAAGATCTCACACCATTAAGAAAAATATATACCTTATATGTAGGTTCTTTTTCTTCTCACATACGATTTTTTTTTTGTTACCGTCGAAAAAAGAATAAGTCACGTGAGAATTAGTTATTTAGCGTTTAAACAATTGAATTTAGGGTAGCTTGTTGTAGGAGTATAGGCTAAGAAGATTGGTCAAGAAAGCAATTTATTACGATGTCTAACAATTTTTTCTCAAACAAGAAAGTGTGGGTGACCAAAAGTGAGGCCCAATTTCATGATTCATATGTTTTATTGACTGAGCAAATAACCCTAATTTCATGCATATTGCAATTTTGCCTAATGCCATTTCAATTTTCACTTAATTTTGATGGTAAAATGTCATTGAAAATGAAAAAGAATATATATTGTAAATTTGTAATCACACACCAAGGGTGTGACCTAATGTCAATGAAGAGGATATAAACCATTGAATTGTCTAGATTTTATAATAGTTTGAGTTAAATTTGGATGGATTAAAATATTTCTAATAAGTCAATTTGAACTTCATACTTAGCTTAAATCAACTCAATTTAAAGATGAGTTAAATTTTGGATAGGTCAAAGTTGGTTGAGATAATAAGTTAATTTTTTTTTAAATTACGATCAGACCATTAACTCGATCAAACTTATGAGTTCGGCATATCATGTTCTCATAGGCTAATTTTATCATATTTATTCAGATCCCAACACAGACAAAAAAAAACCATTGGCTCTTTTGACTGGGAACAAGTTATGTCATGATTTTATTCAAATCAAACATGAGATAAACTCAACCTATAATCAATTATGGATTAGTTATCTCTTATCACTTGTAATAAATTAAACGAGCCGTAACTATTCTATGAATCAACATAGATTTTGGTGGATTGAGTTATTTACGACTTGATACTACCTATATTGATGAATTATGAGGCGGATTTAGAAAATAATTCAATGAGTTTAATTATTATTTTTAAAATTATTATTGAATATTTTATACAGTGATAAAAATATTTATTTATTTTAGTTTATATTTTAAAATGTTTATTTTTCTCTTTAGATTGTATATTGATTGTAGATTATTTAATTTTCTTTTAGTTTAGTATTTATGAAAAAAAAAACATATATTTTTTTAGTTATTTATAAATGGTGACGTACTTTTCTATTTGAATCAATGTAAAAAATTGTCATTCATGCTCTTTTTGATTTTCTCTCTTGTTTGGTCGATAAGTATTATACGTCATTTTAAACTTAATAAAGATATACTTTTCTGTTTTTCTTTTACAATTCACTTTTTCAGAATTTGACATATATATATTGAACTGATTTTGTAATTTTATGTCAAATATTTAAAAATATTTTTATTTTTATACGTAAAATATCTTAAAATGATACAACGAGATCATATTAATGTATGGTCATTTTCTCCCGTTTAGATTCTTAAAAGTATAGAAATGTCATAAAAAGTCATTTTCTTAGAATTGCGTATAATTAAATATCTTCGCATAAAATGAAACGAAAAAAATAAATAAAATTACCTCAACCTCTTCTCAATTAAAAACAAACAAACAAAACTGAAAGCAACATGTATTTTATTTTGTTTTTTCAACAAGCAATATGTATATAACCAGCACACGCATTTGGTGCTTGGCTACTACTCCCTCCGTCCCTATTTTCTTGTCCATATTTCCTTTTTTGGTTGTCCCTATTTAGTTGTCCATTTTGACAAATCAAGAAAGGACAACAAATTTTTTCCTATTATACCCTTATTTACACTTCTTGAAAATTGTAAAAGTGTATGTTGTTTCCCTCCAATTTATTTCACTTGAATTCAGATAAGTGGTTGTAATTTTGAAGTGAAAAGTTGTCATAAGGGTAAAATTGTAACTTCACTGTGCTAATCATTGTTGCCTTAATCTGTGTGCCATTTCTAAAGTGGACAACTAAAAAGGGACGGAGGGAGTAACAAATACCAATAAAATAAATTAAAATACGCGTAAACTAATCTAGACATCATCAATATAATTAAACATGCTTAATCATTGATGAGTTTTGATAGACCTAATAAACAAAAGAATAGGTAACTCTAGTGACACACTTAGGCATATTGAATTGAATTCTTATAAGCTACTAGTAGCTATCATCTTAATTAATGAAAAGGAAAGGAGGTCTAATCAAAGGTATAAATAAAGTAGTGGTCTTGAGATGAAATTATTTGTTTAATTTAATTTTGGTTCTCATCTATTGGGTATTGCACTTACAATATGGACCCAATTGGACAAACTCATAAATAATGGAAAGCAATATTTGATGAACTTTGATTTGACATTGATCTAGACACCTATGTCTAGTAGTTAGGTACATAATTAGCACTAATTAATACTCTCTTTATTGCAAATTATTCATCGTGATCTTGAAAAGTACTCCTATAAGGTGTTTATTATCTTCAAAAATAATTAATACAAGATAAGGAAATTAATTTTATCTTTAACTTCTAAATTGATTAATAATTTAAAACATTAACTTTAAAAATACGATAAGCAATTCGAGTAATTTACTTTCTGTTAACAAGTCATATGACTTTGATGATCAATGAAATATGTTAAGAATCATAAAGTATATCAGGTTCAAATCTCTGAAAGAAGGTAAGAAATTAAGAATACTAGATAATCTGTTCAAATTGTAGTGGGTAGGTTTTATCTTTTACTTTTACTTTTACTGGTGAAAAGTAATCGATAACAAATAAAATTAATCAAGATACGTACACAAATTGACTTGATCATCACGGTTATATAATAATGTTACCTATTACTAATACTTTCGTTAATATTGGTTATTCTATCCCTAATGCCTATAAGATTATTATGCTCTTGCCCCATATTTTTATTACTAGTGAAGGCATATTCAGACTGTTACTTGGTATGATAATAATGCAATTAAATAATTTCATTCGCATTAATCATTTGGATAACTTAATTAATTTCTTGGGATGTAGTTTTGATAAGATTTATATCTTAATCTAAAATTTCCATGCCTTAAGGCTTAAACTAAGCTTTGATACACTTGATTAGAACCTGATTCAATCAAGATTTAAGAAAAGTAGAAAGGAATCAATAACCCAATGGACAAATAAATTCATAATTTAAAATTTACTATATGTTTTAATAAACTATAATACTAATTGAGTCCATAATTAAATATTTATAAACCACTAAATTCGTGCTGGCATATATGTGACACATAATAAAATATATAATCCTCAACACAAATTGAGTACCGAAATCTAAATTCTATAGGTTAAATTGATATTGATTATATTATAATGAGAGAAGAATTAAAAGCAATCATAAATTCAACGTGAATTGTTAGTTTCACTTCTCAACTATTAATAACCTTACAAATATCCATTTACTTGACTAACTGAACTTAAATACATTCCGATTTTATAAAGGAAAATACACCTCTAATTTCTCATCAAATTTAAGGATGTTCTATAGACTTTTATTAAGAGTCATGCGCTTTTACACGAGTTTAAGACCATTTGAGATGTCATATGGCATATTGAAGATGTATCAATCAAGAAGAATGATATTTTTAAAATTATATATCAATAATTTAAAAATGAAACTAATAATTTGAGTTAAGTTCAACGTTGTTTCACCACTTCTCTCTAAAACCGCAATTAGATATTCTAATTGCTCTATTTTCATCCCCTAAATACGCGTCTTTTGTTGATTAATTCAATCTAATTAAGAAAAAAAATTGAAAAAAAAACAAATTGTCATGTGAGTCATATTTAAGAATTAACCAAATCATTAAAACACAAATTGACCTTTTTGGTCACTGAATATTGAAGGAAAATTTCTGTACAACTTCTCTACATGTTCATCAAACTTCGACCATTAAAGTTTCGCTTGATATTCATATTGAAGTCGATTAAATATGAATATAAGAATTTTTCATATTCTAGACTCGAAACTGGACCACTTATTTTTGCTTTTGCTAATGACCTCATTGATTATTGACCTAATTTGTCCATTATTGCAATTTCTAAAATCTATAAAATAAAATAAAATAAAAATATCATCAAATTCCCACCAAAGCCATTTAAATACAGAAACTTTTACTTTTTGTTGCATTTACTTTTTCAGCGGCCATTCATTTCACAAACTTTTCACTTTCCAACTGATGGAGATAGAAGAAACACACAATAATAATAATAATTAATACAGTATAGTATAATACAAAGTATTATAATCAGAATCACAAAAACTCAAAAATAATAATAATTATTATTTTTTTCGAATTGATTTCCTCTCAAAATTTCGAAAAAAAACGTTACAATTACAATGCATCTGTAACTCAGTAACCGCTTCACCATCTCAAAAATTAGGTAGAAAAAAAAACAAAAAAAAAAAGGAAAAATCGAGAGTTTTGAGATTGCTGAACAAAAAAAAGGTAGGTAGTAATTTGAAATTCTCACTGTTAGATCGATCGATCGATCGGTTGAATACTTGAATTTTAATCCTCGAATCCAGTTTTCTCGAAAATTGCATTTCTGACTCTACTCAGATCTCTACCTTTAAGAGTCCTTCCAACTCCTTCATGAACCGAAAACGAAGCGATTCTCGTTCTCGCAAACTGCCTCGCTAAAAACTCATGCGGCGGAATCCGATTCTCAGCATCATCATCGTCTTCTCCATCATCATCGCTATCTCTTCTCCGATTCTCTCTATACTCATCCTTCAGTATCTTCGACCAGTCCGGCACGTTCACCGGCATAGAAGACGCCGCTGCTGCTGCTTTCACCGTTACTCCGGTACTGTTCCGATCACTTCTCGCAATAGACTGCTTTCTAGAAATCCTCGTACTCGTTTTCCGAAACTCCGGCGACGATGACCTCGCTGTCGCCGGTGAGTTCCATACATCGGATTCATCCAGCTCGAACATCGTATCGGAAGTTACTGAAACATTCCGATCACTTGAAAGGAACCGGTAGTTCGATCTAGCGAAATAGCTCTTCGAAGCCGCCATTGATTTTTATTTTTTTTCTCTGAATATTTTTTCTTCAGTTCATATGTATTGCGTGAAGAAAAAATAAATTGTTTTTTTTTTTTTTTTCTCTTTCTTATTTTTGGGTTAAAAGGAGTTTTGATGTTTGCTTTATATAGAGGATTTATGGATAAGGCTTTTATGCATAAAGTCCAAATTGTCCTTCCTTTTTTTCGTTCTTTTTATTTTTTCTTTTTTTTCTCTGCAACTTCTTTTTAGATGAAATGACAGTTGTGTCCTTGTGAATATTTGAAAAATTGGAAGTACTAATGGTCCACCTTAATTATACTTCTGACATAGGTAATTAAGAAAGAAGTGATTAAAAATTAAATATTGTTGGACTTTAGGGGAGAAAAGGTCATAAGTGTTGGCAATAAATTATAATAATGATTTACGAATCCCTTTTCTTTTTAATCGAATGCCTACTAGGATAAAGTTAAAATGACAATCCTTTCAAATTCAAAATATGAAAATTAATTATTTTTTTTTCTTTCTATTAATTATAAAATTAACAAATCCAATGCATTTTTACAATGGAAATTTAAGAATATTATTGTATACACAATTTTGTTATGACTTTTTTTTATATAAAAATCATCAGCTGAAGTTAAAGATATTAAATAATAATATTATAAAATTAATTTTTCTTTAGCAAATTAGCAAAAATATATAATTAACAAGATTACTAGAGCAAAGAAAAATAACATGTCATATTAAAATCGAAAAATAAAATAATAAAAAAAATGATATATTTATTATGATTAATTTATTTACATAATAGTATATTAGAGTATTCAAGATAAATCTTTTATTAAATGTCAAATATTCGATTGGTACAATCATAAATTTGAGTATTTAAATTTGTTGATAAGATCGAGAGGTAGTAAATGTATTAAACCCTAAAATTAATCACTCTTTAATTGTGACTACGATCGGTACGATAACTTTAACAACCAAAGACACGCGTCGAGTTATTAAAAAAAGAAGTTTATTAAAGATAACGACAAAAAATGAAAGCAAAAGGGCATTTTGGGAACAACGCTTTGTCTCTTAGTGCGTAAATAAAGAAAAAAAAAGTAAAAAAAAAACGCAACTAAAGAGAAACTTTTAAAAGAGTTTTGTCGCGACTCGTAGCTGTATATTTGGGTCCGGTTCGGGCATAACTCACTGAAAATTGAATTATTAGATCAAATCGAAATTATCGAACCAAAATTTAAAATTTCATATTTTTTTATCTTGAAAAATATAGAATCGAATATCAAACATTTTATTCAAGTATGAACGAGACTCTTTTTTTTCCATCTAATGTTCGATATCTTTACTGAAATTTATAAAATTTGAATTTTTATCGGGTGAAATGTTTTTTAACAAAGACGATTTCATAATCAAGAAAATTCGAATATGAAACATTTAATAAATGATGAATGAGTATTTATCACTCTATCACGATCCTTGTTGGTCGAGGGGAGAATTTTTTTTTGTTTTCATATAATGTTTGGTATCCTCACTGAAATTTGATAAAATTTGATTTTTTGTAGGATAAAATATTTTTTAGCAAAAACAATTTCAAAATTGAGGAAATTCGAATATGAAAAATTTAATAAATGATGAATGAGTATTTATCGCTCTATCACGATCCTTTTTGATCGAGGGGAGATTTTTTTTTTGTTCCCATATAATGTTTGATATCTTCACTGAAGTTTGATAAAATTTGAATTTTTGTCGGGTAAAATATTTTTTAACAAAGACGATTTCATAATCAAGAAAATTCGAATATAAAACATTTGATAAATGATGAATGAGTATTTATCACTCTATCACGATCGTGGTTGGTCGAGGGGAGATTCACCTGGTGTTGGTCCCTAGTTAAGATATGTTGGTATTACCGAACACGTGTCCCTGATTATCTGGCAGATGGCCACGTGGCGTGATGAAACCTCAATAAGCTGTAGGGTAGTGGGGGCACGTGAAGTGGGACCCACTAAGCTTGTTTGGATTCAGTGTAGAGTTTCTGTGCCAGCTCACTCTTGGTTTGCTTCTGTCCTATAATTAATTTTTTTTGAAGAAATACAATTATTAATAAAATTAATTTTGATTTTTATGATTAAAAGTGCTGATTTGGTCGAATTCATAAATTTTAGTTTAAAATAAAAACACATAATTTAGTTTAGAACACAATGAATTAAGGGAAAAAAGCTTATATATGTCATCGAAATTTGAATAAAAAGTTCATCTATGTCATTTGTTAAAAGTTTGGTTCAATATATGTGTCATTTTCATTTGATAAAAGGCTCATGCATGTCATTATTTGATGATGAAAAAAAATTTTATTTCGCAAAACCATTTTTTGCACATGGTCAATTATGATTTGGTCACGTCATTAAATTAAATTATTATTTTTTTAGAAAAAATGTTCAAATATGTCATCCGTTAATAGTTTGGTTCAAATATGTCATTGACCTTTGAGAAAAGGTTCATCTATGTCATATGTCAATAGTTTGACTTATCTATGTCATTTCAATTAACAAATAGTGACATGTTGTGCCTTTTCTCAAGCGAAAATGGTATAGATGAACCACACTCAAAGTTCAATGAAATATTTGAGCCTTTCCTTATAACTTAATACGACTAAAATCATGTATCCGTGCTTTGTTTTTATGTAAGACTACGTATACATTATTATTTTCAGACTTCATTTATAAAATCATAGCTGATATAGTTTTATCATTGTTGTAGTTTTAGTTCATTTGTACTAATTTTATAGTGTGGGGTACATTTATGAATTTTGGTGATAAATTTCATATATATATATAGAACAGTCGCATATTTTGATTGAGCACATAAATAACGATTTTTGATTCAATTTGATAAAAACTCTATGTGAGTTTTCGATTATCCTTTATATGTAATGGGTAATCTTCGACGTATTACAATTAATTGAAATTGATGTGCATAATTTAATGATGAAACAATTAATAATTTTGAATGTTTTATTAGTATTAGCCTAGTTTTGTTGAGTTTGGTTTGAACGTTGAACTGAATGGCATCATGCTTTACTTGTGATAAGGATATTTATTTATTTGAAAGAGTTAATCAAATTTTATTTTAGAATATAATAATAAAAAGAAGTATAAAGGTGAAGTATTCCTAATGATATTTTATTTTCAAGAATATGCAATATATGCAAAATGTCTGCCCATTTGTAATTTTTATCAATTTACTAACACAACTAGCATTTCCTAAAATTAAAAATATCCATTAGGAGGTGAAATTTTTAATAATAGTTATTTTTCTAAAAATTATTCTACTAATGACAATCACGATAATAAATAAAGGATTCTGCGATTATAATATAATTGTTATTATATAGATAATTTTACCACAAAGTTGGTCCCTCTTTTTCTTTCTTATTTCACTTTTATTTTTATTATACTTAATTAATATATTTTTATGTAAAAAATCGAATCTTATTCTATTTATTGAAATGATTTGAGTTAGAACCCTTCGTATTTTCTTTTTCCAAAAGGAGATCCAATCTTAATTTGTCTTTTTTTTTTCAAACATATATTATGATTATAAATAATCTTTACAACAAAAATATATTATATAGTACAAGCTAATGTTATTTTTTAAAATTATATATTAGATATGTAGTACAAGTGTAGCACTGTTTTATATATATGCCTAATGCCTACCTAGAGACTATAGTATATATTATATAGATGCCCGATCCAAGAACCAAAATAATTTAGCTAATAATGATGTTTTTAATAACATTAGAAGGATTCTCACGATGTCTGATGTCTGGTTCTCGTATTGAAGTTTGAGTAAATTTAGATTTACATATTATGGTATTCATTTTTAGGAACGACGATTTCAATTAGATCTATTTTTTTAGAGTTTCAAATTTGAAACGTTTTATTAAGAATAGATGAATTCTAATTATTTCATCACAATCTACGTTGACCCACGAGTAGATAAGCTTTGCTTCACTTTATGAGGCATGTCATTATCTTTAATCACTTTTTTATTAGTTACTACAACTAGTTTTTTGTTTCTAAATAAATAAAAAACAACTTGTATACTTGATAGCTTTAGTCACCCTACTATTTGTTTAATCATGTTAATTTGGCATTGGTGGGCTCTTTTAGAAGAAAAGTTAATCCCTTTTATATATAATAAATAATAATATTAATAATAAAGTTTTTTTGTTGATTGTTGTTCCATCAAAAATCAAGATCAAATTAAATCTTTTTGGTTTTATAATTTATTTATTTTTTAAAAATATTGGATGAGTGAATTGAATATATATTTGAGAAAAACATATTTTATGGGAATGGAACATCTCTTGCAATGCAAATAATGATACTAAAGCTATAGTCGTAATAAGAGGAAATTAAATTAGCTCATGAAAATATAATTTATATTCATAATCTATTTAATTTAAATGGATTAATAATGTATTCATTTATTAATTCAGCCTATTTCAAAACACCAAATTCATCTCATCGCCTCTAAGCCGATTGATTTGGACTAAATGTATACACCAAATTGATCGATAAGTTATCTTATTCATCATATCTTAGTCCAAGTAATCTTTAGGATTGTAACGACTCGTTTTTTCTTCTTCTTTTTCTTGGGTGGGGGTGGAGGGGGTGGGTAGCTTCCTTCACTAGATTAACTTGTGGGGATTATGCGTTAGGTCGTCCATGTGATATTCCTTCTATAATAAGAGTTATAAACTTATAATCATTTATTGTCAGGAAACATTTATTATTTAAATAGAAGTAATAATTTAACAATGTCAAAATGAATTTTGCCTTCTTCTAACTTTTCAAGTATTATAACACTATCAAGTTCTAATAATGGATTCAAAACTGGACATTTTTTTTTTTGAATATTACGGATTCAAAGAAATTCTCTCTTAAAACACAGATAGAAATTGAACACTTTACCCATTAATGAACAAATTGTGACAAACAAATTTAACTTCGTCGGTCATCCCCAAAATTCAAAAAAAAAGAAAAAATCACACAAAATTTAAAGGTGATATGTT